ATTTAAAATAATTTTCTGCTGATTCAGCGAAAAAGACCAAAATCACTGATTCAGACTTTAGATCATTCAAACATATTGATCTGATCAGTAAATGACTGTTTATACATGAAGAGCTGTTGTCATGACGATTATGACTGTCAGACTGTTGCCATAGATACGACTATGATCTCTGACAAGAACAGCTGATCACCGTGTTGCCATGACAACCTGATGATCACCACCTGATCGCCACGGCAACCTGTCCTCAAAACATCAGCGACCGAGGCTATTATTTTGAAGGTTTTCAGTGTCATTTCCACTTCCTGTCACTTTGATCAGTTTAATAATTAAGTGTGAGTGTGTGACTGTGTGTGTGTGTGTGACTGTGTGTGTGTGTGTGTGTGTATGTGAGTGTGTGTCTGTGAGTGTGTGTGAGTGTGTGTGTGTGTGTGTGTGTGTGTGTGTGTGTGTGTGTGTGTGTGTGTGTGTGTGTGTGTGAGAGTGAGTGTTTGTGTGTGTGTGTGTGTGTGTGTGTGTGTGTGTGTGTCTGTGAGTGTGTGAGTGTGTGTGTGTGTGTGTGAGTGTGTGTGTGTGTGTGTGTGTGTGTGTGTGTGTGTGTGTGTGTGAGAGTGAGTGTTTGTGTGTGTGTGAGTGTGTGTGTGTGTCTGTGAGTGTGTGTGAGTGTGTGTGTGTCTGTGTGTCTGTGTGTCTGTGTGTATGTGTGTGTGTGTGTGAGTGTGTGTGTGTGTGTGTGTGTGTGTGTGTGAGAGAGAGTGAGTGTGTGTGTGTGTGTGTGTGTGTGTGTGTGTGTGTGTGTGTGTGTGTGTGTGTGTGTGTGTGTGTGTGTCTGTGAGTGTGTGTCTGTGAGTGTGTGTGTTCTGAGCATGCTCAGTAAATACTTTATTGATCATCAGATCTCGTCCGTCTTTATATCAGAGGTTCTAACGTCACGCTCCACCTGACCGCCACAATAAAAGCCCGCAGCCTTCACAATAAGAGCGTGTGATATCAGAGCGCTGTGATCCTGTCACACAGATTTAACCTCTGACCCCCCCGCCTGGTCGTTCAGCATCTTCACCTGAAACAGATGTTCACCCCCCCCCCCCCCCCTCACACACACAGCAGCAATAAGACGGAGCTGTAATCTGAGGATCGGGGCCACACACAGATTAAACAAACAGACGCAGCAGCAGCAGCTTCATCAGAGATTAACAGAAATCCTCCTCCTTCATAATCCATCATCTGTGTTTTTGCTCAGTTCAGAGATTAGAGAGAGAGAGGCTGTTGTTACTGATACAAGGTGGACAACACACACACAGACACACAGACACACACACACACACACACACACACACACACACACACATGAGAGAGAGAGGCTGTTGTTACTGATACAAGGTGGACAACACACACACAGACACACAGACACACACAACACAGATACACAACACACACACACACACACAACACACACACACGAGAGAGAGAGGCTGTTGTTACTGATACAAGAGAAGGTGGACTACACACACACACAGACACACAGAGACACACAGACACACACACAACACACACAGACACACACACAACACACACACATGAGAGAGAGAGGCTGTTGTTACAAGGTGGACTACACACACACACAGACACACACACACACACCTGTCACTCAGACCACAGGAACCTTAAAGGGTTCATTGATCATAATTGATCATCAATCATCTTGATCAGGCTGAAGTTGATCTGATCCAAACTGGATCCTGGTCTGTGGTTCTAGGTCAGAAGGTCAGAACCAGAACCAGAACCATCCTCTGTTTCTTTAGGAAACCCGTAGACTGTATTTACTCTGGACATCTTGGCTCCGCCTCCCGCCTGTTCACGGATTTAAAGCTGAAAAGTTCTCGGTAATTCTGCGATTTTTCTTCATTTCCTGAAACCATCATTGTTCAGTAGCGTTGTGCGCATTCGGCCGCGCAGTCACCGAGAGTCTCTGTGATGATGCTCGTCTCAAACAGCGTATCCCCCCGGTGATCTACTCAATCTCTGTCCTCCCATTGGCTGTATCAGGTGTCAATCAAAGAAAACATGAACCCCCTAATAACTTTTAAAAATGGAGCTGTACAGAAAAAAGAGGACTTGAGCACAAACCAGTCTGACAGTAACTACATGTCAACATCACAACCAGGGGGGAGAAACATTTATATTCTGTGTCATTCATTTATAAAGTTTGTCCACAGCTCCATAAGGAGGCGGGGTTTAGGACCTATACTGCAGCCCGTCACCAGAGGGCGCTGTTCTCACAGAGAGGAGGCAGACGGCGTCTATTTTAAATACAGTCTATGAGGAAACGTCTCTGAAGTGTGAGGAGGTTCGAGCGAGGTTCAGACATGTGGGTCCTAGAACCCTGGGTCCTAAAACGCTGGTTCCTGGACCGCCCGGTTCCAGGATGTTGGGGTGTTGGGTTCTTTGAAGTTCCTTAAAGAGACAGGAGCCGAATTTAAGAGTTCAGGGATCAGGGAGTTCTGATGCTGAGGTTCTAATGTAATTGATAATAATTATAATTAAAATAAAATAATTATAAAGTAATAATAACAATAATATTATTAATAATAATCACTTTATTGGTTTATCACTTTTAGAAACAGAAGTTTACAAAGTGCTTTGACAAATAATCATAGAGCAAATAAAAGACGAATAAAAACATCAAACTAATTTAAAACATAATTAAAGGTCATTTTCATTATTTATAAGGAATCAGACGAAACAAGAACCCTGAGACAAAATAAGAGCATGAGGACCGAAGTAAAAACAAAATAATCAGAAAAAAGAAAAGACAATAAAAGGGAAAAACAGAAAGATTATAGTAAAAATAAAAGACAATATTAACAACCATAAAAAAATATTAACAAGTAATAATGATAATAACAGGTAATTATGATAATAAGAGGTAATTATGATAATAAGAGGTAATTATGATAATAACAGGTAATAATGATAATAAGAGGTAATTATGATAATAACAGGTAATAATGATAATAACAGGTAATATTCATAATAACAGGTAATTATGATAATAACAGATAATAATGATAATAAGAGGTAATTATGATAATAACAGATAATAATGATAATAACAGGTAATTATGATAATAAGAGGTAATAATAATAATAAGAGGTAATTATGATAATAACAGGTAATTATGATAATAAGAGGTAATTATGATAATAACAGGTAATAATGATAATAAGAGGTAATAATGATAATAACAGGTAATTATGATAATAACAGGTAATAATGATAATAAGAGGTAATAATGATAATAACAGGTAATTATGATAATAACAGGTAATAATGATAATAAGAGGTAATAATGATAATAAGAGGTAATTATGATAATAACAGATAATAATGATAATAACAGATAATAATGATAATAACAGGTAATTATGATAATAACAGGTAATAATGATAATAACAGGTAATATTCATAATAACAGGTAATTATGATAATAACAGGTAATTATGATAATAAGAGGTAATTATGATAATAACAGGTAATTATGATAATAACAGGTAATAATGATAATAAGAGGTAATAATGATAATAAGAGGTAATTATGATAATAACAGATAATAATGATAATAACAGATAATAATGATAATAACAGGTAATTATGATAATAACAGGTAATAATGATAATAAGAGGTAATAATGATAATAAGAGGTAATTATGATAATAACAGATAATAATGATAATAACAGGTAATTATGATAATAAGAGGTAATTATGATAATAAGAGGTAATTATGATAATAACAGGTAATAATGATAATAACAGGTAATTATGATAATAACAGATAATAATAAAAATAACAGTAATGTTAAAATAATTAAAGGTTGATAAGGAAAAGAATAAAACAGACAGTTAAGCTGAAATCAGGCAGAACTAAAACAGATCCTGGTCTTTCTTCTTCTTCATCTGATGTTTGAAACTCAAAAGTCAAGAAGGTCTCAGTCCAACTGGTGGACTCAGGTTCACATCAAGTCCTCCACAGACCAGCAGCAGACCTGGTTCCTGCAGCTCCTCTCAGACCTTCAGGTGTTTTTGGAGTTCCTGCTCCTCTGACTGTGTGTGAGGTGAAAGATCTGCGGGAGGTTCCTCCTCCGATGAAAACATCTGTTCAGCTCAGAGAGCAGCAGGTCCAGGATCACCGAGTCAACAAGTCCTCCACCTGCTGCTCCTCAGAACTCCTCAGGAGACCTCCTCCTCATCATCCCGCTGTGTGTCAAAGACTGAACCACCATCTGTGTATCAACCTGTGTGTGTGTGTGTGTGTGTCTGTGTGTGTGTGTGTGTGTCTGTAGGGAGCACGATAAAGACCCTGAGCTCTTCTTCTCCACTCTGATCAAACTGAAGGAGAAAAAACTTCAATTCCACGTGTCGGTGCTGGGAGAGACGTTCACCGATGTACCAGGTACACACAGACACATACACACACACACAGACAGACACACACAGACACACACAGACACTCACAGACACACACAGACACACACAGACAGACACTCACAGACACACACAGACACACAGACACAGACAGACACACAGGCACAGACACAGACACAAATACACACACAGAGACACTCACACACACAGACACAGACACACACACACAAATACACACACAGACACACACACACAGAGACACACAGACACAGACACACACACACAAATACACACCTAGACACACACAGACACACACAGACAGACACTCACAGACACACACAGACACACAGACACAGACAGACACACAGGCACAGGCACAGACACAAATACACACACAGAGACACACACACACAAATACACACACAGACACACACAGACACACACACACACACACACACACACACACACACACACACAGAGACACACAGACACACACACAGACACACACACAGACCTGTGTGTAGAAACACTCAGACTCACTCGTTCATCATCTCTGTGAAAAAAACTCACAAACGTCTAAAGACCCGCCCCCAGAGTGAGTCTGAGAGAGCGCATAAAAAAACGTGTGTCTGTGTGTGTCTGTGTGTGTGTGTGTGTGTGTGTGTGTGTGTGTGTGTGTCTGTGTGTGTCTCTGTGTGTGTGTGTCTGTGTGTGTCTGTGTGTGTGTGTGTTTGTTGGGGGGGGGCAAACATAGATCGTGAAATTACAAAATATTCAGAAGAGAATTACGATTTTGCGAAGAAGAAGACGTGTCCTGGGGAAAGCCCCGCCTCCTTCGCCTCTGATTGGCTAGAAAAGCTGGAAAGGTCATCACACACTCAAGGTCAGCACTTGTAGCCAATCAGAGGTGAAGGAGGGCGGGACCTAAGTGTTGAGATGTCTGTCTGTCATGATAGCATGTACTGAGTCGGGGTTAGTACCAGATAAACACATGTAACCATGGTAACAACCGTTAGCTTACGTTAGCACAGATGAAGGTTCAAACAAAGACGTTTATCAAACTGTTAAAGCTCACAAACCATCGTCTCCACAAGTCGTCCTTCAGGTCGTTCTCTTTGTAATGTTTGTGTCTTTATCAAAAATCACTCTGTTCTCCGACACGGAAACAATCAGACGGTCGGCCATGTTGGATATACCGCTGAATCTGATTGGTCAGAAGTGGACACACAGTCTGAGAAACTTTAGAAAAATCGACCGTGATCCGAAATATCGCAGGACGGGAAAACGTTGCTGATGTGACGATTGTACTGACAGGATAAAAAATACTGACGTCTGAAATAAACGAAGATAAAAAAAAGGTGTGAAAGGAGCTTAGAACAGACTCTGACTTTAACCCTAACAGATGAATTGATCAGCTGATCAGTCCTCCTGTCTGTTTGTTCGGCCTCGTTTTACTCTGATGAAGTTGAACTTTGACCTCTGCAGACTCTCATGTGAAGGTCAAATGTCAGTTTGAGGATATAAAGATTTTTTATCATCGACAGAAAATATCATCAGCTAATGAGGCGTTAATGACTGTGTGTGTGTGTGTGTGTGTGTGTATCTGTGTGTGTGTGTGTGTGTGTGTGTGTGTATCTGTGTGTGTGTGTGTGTTTCTCTGGTAAATACACTCTGAAATATTAAAATCTAAAGTTTTATGGCGACACAAACAGCTGACTGTAAATCCAGCCTCATATTGGCTGATTAGTCTCTCTAAGGCAATCCCATTAGGACAAATTTAATCACTTTGATTTTCTTAATAGAGTCTGAGAACAGGTGACCTTTGACCTCACCTGTTCATCAACGTCCATAAACATCAGCCTCAAACACACACACACACACACACACACACACACACACACACACACACACACACACATGCACAGAAGGATTCAAACTCTCCATAATAATAATAATAATAATAATAATAACTGTAACGACGTCGCCCTGATCTCTGGGGTCATAAAAACACTTAAAGGTGTTGTAGTCAGGATCTGAGGAAGTTCCAGTTTTTAGGAGAAATCTTGAATGTAAACTCTACCCCTCACAAACAGTTTTCCCCTCAGCTCCTCCCCTCCCTCTCTTAAGCCCCGCCCACAAACAGACGCTCCTGCTCGCTCGTATCGTTCCAGTTAAATTCAGATATAATGCAGATAAATACTTCAGATCATTACAAATGGGGCCCAGTCAAGGTGAAAGTCAAAAGCATTGGTGCTACTGTAGATGCCAACAGACTAGCAGCAAACACAATGTTTGCAGGACTTCTACAACTAGGATAAAGTGACATAGTCCAGGACCCGAGGGAGGACAGTTTAGCGATGGCGCTACAACACGCTACAGCAGGTCCGTTTGACAAGAAACACTTCTGTTACAGACACTTGTCTTACTTTGTTAAAGCGGTTTACCTGTCCAGCAGAAAGGTTACAGGGTCACCAAGATCCCCAAGCGTCCCCCATCGTTTATGTTGACCCGGCTGTTTAGCTCTTGTCCGGTCTACCTCCGTTTTAAGCGCCCGTTATTCCTCCAGAGTCTCCGGTATTTACTTTGTTTTCTTGCTTGTGTCGGCAGTCGTGGCCAAAGGAGGATTCAGACAATTTTCCGAACTTTCTGGTTGGTTCCTACTGTCCGATATTGTAGCACGCTAACTTTGTTTGGGCTCCTGAACGACACGGGGGAGCAGCGTCTGCCTCACAACCAATCAGGTTAGAGGAGGTGGAGAACGGCTTTGTTTACAGTCAGAAAGAGCGGACCGCTCAAAAATGTTCAAATGTTGACGACACAGACGAGAAACTTCACTGCCTCCCCCCCTCACACCTCTGTCTCCCCCCCCATAGAGATCTTCGCCGAGGCGCGGCGTCAGCTGGACTCTCACGTCGCTCACTGGGGTTTCCTTCCAGCTAAAGACGACTTCCTGAAGGTTCTGTGTGCGGCCGACGTGGTCGTCTCCACCGCCAAACACGAGTTCTTCGGAGTCGCCATGTGAGTTCACCTCTGACAACTTCCTGTTACTGTTACTTCAAATACACCTGGTTCAGG